TAGTTTCCCGCCACTTTCAATCCTTTTCTTATAGTAGTACGGTAGTTGTTCAGGGTCCACTTATGAGTGAGCACCCTCTTTTGCACGTGGCTGTCTAAGCGACCCAGCACCTTTTGCTGAAAAGACGGTTCTTTCTCCCACTGAATTGTCTCGGTAGCCTTATCGTAAACAGGATTTAGTTTTGGACTCTCAATTCTATTCCATTGATCTCTATATAAAGAAAAGAAAAGAATGAAAGAAAAACATGTTTTGGACGGCTTACAGTGTGTCTGTGTTTCAAGGTAAATGTTACGACGAAAGTAAAAAAGTTAAATTCATGTTTAGAAAGTAAAAAAGTTACAGTAAACTAAGTTTAATTTGTTATTGAAAAAGGTGCTCGGCCGGACATGGTGCCTCAGCCTGTCATCCCAGCACTTTGGAAGGCCGAGGCAAGAGGACTGTCTGAGCTTGGGGGTTCAAGACCAGCCTGGGCAACTTGGTGAGACCTCGTCTCTACAATAAGTCAAAAAATGAGCCAGGCATGGTAGCACCCATCTGTCATTCCAGCTGCTTGGAAGGGTGAGGTGGAAGGATTGCCTAAGCCCAGCAGGTTGAGGCTGTGGTGGCCATGAGCATGCCCCTGCACTCCAACCTGGGCGACAGAGTGAGACTCCAACTCAAAAAAAAGAAAAAAAAGAAAAAAAGAAAAAGGTGTTCAATACAGCTTGTGTAGCCTGTGTCCAGTTGATAAAGTCTACAGCAGTAAAAAGTGGTGTCTTGGGCCTTCACAAAAATTTACTCACCACTTGCTGACTCACCCAGAGTGACTTTTAGTCCTGCAAGCTCCATGGTGAGTGCCCTAGACAGGTGTATCACTTTTAATGTTTTTTGTTGTTGTTGTTGTTTTTTGTCAGAGTCTCATTCTATTGCCCAGGCTGGAGTGCAGTGGCATACTCATGACCACCACAGCGGATCCTTCCACTTTCGAAGTAGCTGGAACCACAGGCATGCATCACCACACCTGGCTTATTTTATCTATTTATTGTAGAGATGAAGTCTGGCCAAGTTGCCCAGGCTGATCTTGAACCCCTGGGCTCAGGCCATCCTTTTATCTCTGCCTCCCAAAGTGCTGGGATTTCAGGTGTGCGTCACCACGCCTGGCCACTTTAATCTTTTAGACCATATTTTGGTGGAGACAGACAAGAAGGAAGTCACCCTGATGGTGCCTCCAGCTGCAGGTCTCTGATGCTGGCTCCAGGGTGTGGTAGGAATTGAGAGGGAATCGGAGCAGCTTTTGAAAAATGGAAAAGGGTCTAGAGTGTGTGGATCCCAGGATGAAGATGGGTCTTCAGAGCCCAGCTTGTATTCATGGCCTGACGCTGACACCAGTGGCATCTCGTGGCCCCTAACATGACCCAGATTTCATTACATGGCCCCTCTTCTGTCCTCCAGGCTTATGGGGCTGGGCTCAATAGGCAGGAGACAGGGTGAATCTACCCAGTGGGCTGTGCCTTGGTCACAAATGACCACAAACTAGGTGGCTTAGAACAACAGGAATTTTCACCCGCCACAAAACTAACTTCAAATAAATGTTACCCAAGAAGCCCAAGATCGAGGTGTCGGCAGGTCTGTGCTCTCTCCAAAGCGAGGAAGCCACGCTTCCTGCCTCTGTCTTCTGTGGGCCCAGGCGTTCTTGGCTGGTGGCCCCGTCACTCAAGTCTCCGTCTCTGTCCTCCTGTGGCCTCCTGCGGTTTTCCATGTGTCTCTCTGTTTTCAGGTTGGGTGTGGTGCACTGTGGGTTCTTTGGACTTACCACAGGAAGGAATTTCAGAGTGAATCCAAGCATAGTTGAAGACAATTGATTACAGAGAAGAGACATGCCCAACAGGCATGGGCATCTTAAGAGAAAGAATGTTTGCCTTTGACAAGACTCTCAATCGATAGACTTTTACAAGTGATTATTATGTAACCATGAACTAAGGGTGGGCTGATGGCCGTCTCTCCACCTTTGATGAGCTAGGAGAGTGGGCTTTTCTGAACACACATTTCCTTTGACAGAAGCTCAGTAGACTTTTACAGTGATTATGATGTAACCGTGAACTAAGGGTGGGCTGATGGCCGTCTCTCCACCTTTGATGAGCTAGGAGAGTGGGCTTTTCTGAACGTGCATTTACTTTGACAAGAAGCTTGACAGACTTTTACAGTGATTATTATGTAACCAGGAACTGAGAGGGTGGGCTGCAGGTATCACCACTATCCAGCCCACAGGGTGGTCAAGTCCGGTGTGCCAATAAGATGGCTGAACACTTACCCTATTTTACTCTAAACTGCCTGCAAGAAATGTATCCATCTATATCCTACCTGTCCTGAGGAACCTGCTTTATTTCTGATCCCTTAGGAGAACACTTGTCCTTGGACTTAGGGTCTACCCTACATGCAGGGCCATCTCGTCTCAAGAGCCTTAATACATCTGCAAAGACCCTCTCTGCATGAGGTCACGGTCACAGGAATGGGCCTGTCTTTCGGTGCGCACATCTCAAGTTTCCACAGTCCTCAAAGCCACGTGTCTGGTCTGCACCGTTTTCCCCAAATGCCCGATCCTCCCCCACTGTCCCGTACTGGGATGGAAGGCCCCGCATCTGCTCTGCCTGTTGGGGCGAGTCTCCCCTCCCCTGGTTTCTGGTTCCCCTTCCCAGAGGAAGCTGTCTGCTCCCTTCCGGCTCTGATCAACTGTCACCCCATGGGCGGGTCTCGTCCTGCAGGAGGACATGGGGATGACGTACACAGAGCTCTCAGTCTACGGGAGGCTCAGGAAGGTCGCCAAGCTGGGCCCCTACGGCTTGTTCTGCAAACTTGTCAGCATGTGGAGAGACTCCTGCACCCCGCGGCAGGTAAAGGTGTGAGTGATGCCTCCTGGGGGAGCCAGCAGGGTGCAGTCCCCTGTGCAGTGGGCAGGGTGACTGGTAGGAGTGCGTCGATATGATGGGACCCGGAAATATCAAAGCTGCTTCTTATA